CTTTCTCTGTCTCTCTTCCCATCTTCATATGCATAATATATCTCATTTCTTTCTCGCTTTCTCTTTCTCTCGCTACCTTCCATCCTCCTCTTAATAGCCCTCCACGTAGATCACTTTTTACACCGGACCCATTCGCTCCCCCTTTTCCCCGTTTTCCCTCAAGAAAAAGAAATCACCCAATCAAAAGTATTCTGTCAGTGTTTCAAGGTAAAACAAAATGTTCCAGATAGACCGGGGGATCAAAGCTGTATTGAGGTGCCATCGATTTGCGAAATGAAGGTCACAAACACCCCGGTCATGCAAAGTTAACCGCGAGGGCAGAGTGACAAAATCGTTTTTATCTCCGGATGAAGCAGAACAATATTTGTGGACGTTTTATTTTTAGTAGTGGCAGACCATTAAAATTCAATTAATGTATGGTGTTCATTGCGGCGAAACAACCCAACCAGGCATGAGTTTCTGCACGTTGTATCAAGCCTTTGTAAATAATTTATTGTTTCCTGTAGCATTATTGTTGCTGAGCTGTTTTGGAGGCACACCCAGTTTTGTACAGGTGAACTGTTAGTTTTTCAATCAGAATAGAATACTAAATCGCAGTTGCTAAAACGTGTGTTAGTATAAATATTCTATGAGCGCGGGCATTAACCACAGGGTAGAATTTTCAACAGCCTTTACAACTCTGACAAATACTCTCAAATGTCGGATTAGTTGGAAACTGGAGTTAACATTGAACTCAGCTACCACAACCCCATCTCCCCTCCTCTCCCCATTCAACAACCCCTCCTCCTCCTTCACCAGCCGCTCGTCGTCCTCGCCTCCTGTCACCACACATTCAGGTGAGGGGTGTGGCACTCCGGCAACGCCCCCGGCACTACCGCACGCGCCCGCACGAGTGGTGCCGAGCTGCCGTGACTGCTATAAAATCTGGACATGGCCTGGACTTAACTCCTTCATTAAGAAATAGCAGGGCTCTTTGGTGTAGGTACCTAAAAGGTTAAGCGAAAAAAAATTGTATCAGAGACAAATCACTATCTGATATAGAATACTTTATTATTTCCACATCAGGGGAATAAAGTCTTAACAAAAACAATTTTTTTTCTAAACAGAAAAGAGGGTATCTTCTTTCTCCAATCGCAGTGCTTTGAACCCTCTAATCGTTTCTAGGTATTTGAGGAATTTACGAAGACTTAGAGAAGAAACAGAGTAGTCAGCAACCTGCTCAAGAAGTACAGGGAAAGAGGAGAAAAGGACTGCCAGGTAAGTTCATTCCAAAGATAAAGTAGTGTATCCTGATAGAGATAGATTACAGAATGGTTTTCATTTTTGAGTTTTTTTGCAGATTACTTCTAACGCTGATGATTTCTTATTTATGGGACAGGCAAAATGGAGATTCGTATCTTTGACCGCTCAGTTACGTTTAGAAACGTTTAAGTTAAATCTCAAAGCAGAAGTGAGAAATAAGTATGACGCGAAGTATCTTTAAAAATTCGAAAGAATTTTAACTCATTCTACTTAATTGTCTCTCCTTCATTCTCTGTCTGTCTGTCTGTCTGTCTGTCTGTCTGTCTGTCTGTCTGTCTGTCTGTCTGTCTGTCTGTCTGTCTGTCTCTCTGT